GTAGCATCATAGCTCCGCTAAAAGCGATAAAATACAAAAATTTCTAATCTGAGTGATGGCCGGCTATGTGCTGAGTATTTGAAGCTTTACGAGATGAAGAAGAAGAAGGGAGAAGGGAGAAGAAGGTTTCCGAGTGGGATACGTATTCGCGATGAAAACCCTCCATTGAGAGCAGTCATCTATGGCACTTTGTCTGAGATGGTGGATTTAGGAGATCTTCTTTTATCTCCGGTCTGCCAAATAAAACCGTCGCCATCCTTCCGTCTCCACCAAGTATCGCTAGAGAGGATTGAATGCATATCTAGCCCTTACAATGACTGGCAGTGGCCTATCGGTGTTGCACGGTATTGCTGTTTCTCTCGGATAAGTGCTGGTACCAATCAATCGATTCTGAAGGGATCGGAAATTTCGTGAGCCTTGAGTGCTGGATCGAACCATCGACCACGTATGTATCGCAGAGCACCTCTAACCACTGCGCTACACCTGCTCCTAGCCAGCTATATGTATGGGGATCGGTTCAATATTCTTACGAGTTTCTAATGTATTCTTATAGGAATCACAATTCAATTGGCTGCGATAACTTTCCATTGGAAGAAGCATAGAATCAATCTCATTGACACACCCGGTCATGTCGATTTCACTGGTGAGCAAGTACTTCACATATGTCTTCACATTTTTTGTGTCTTCAGTGATTTTGTTTACCAGCACAGTTTCTCTTTAGCCGATGAGGCTTAGGGAGGCGTCGTGGCCGAGTGGTTGTGATGCTCGTCGCGGCGCGCGTGGGGTACCGAACCCCATACTCACCCTCAACACTTCAGCAGTCAACAGTTGAGCGCCCTATGGAACGCCTGCAGCATAGGCTATACTCGACGTTGCAGTGAGACGTGCTCCACCAGTATTTTATGCCGTTCAGGAAGGAGACGGAAAAAAAGGACTGAAAACTAAGAGTGCTGGAATCCGCTCAGGAGAAAAAAACCTAGTGAAAGCGGATAGATAAAGCGCCAAGATCCTTGATGGTGTTCGAAGTCTTTCGTTCATTTGGTCATCATTTTTTGGTAACTTCAAATTTCAGAAGGGGATAAATTTATAAAGGGATCTCATTCGCTGGACAGGAACTTTTCATTGGAGTGTTAGTAGGTATTCAGAAGCTTAGATTTCTGGTTACAACTCCAACGTCGCGGGATTTTTCTAACGCACCCTTCTATAACACTGTAGCATCAAGAATAAAATTTTGTTTCACACTCACTTTTCGCGTTCATTTTTATCATGCGTATAATCCCCTCGAAGCACGAAAGGCATATCAGCGTGTAGAGAATTTCCCGTAGTATCAGAATCTAGGTTTTGATCTGAGGTTACCGTCGATGCGGTGAACGATTCCCTAATAGAACAGTAGCATATCAAACACGATCGATCGCCCTGCTCCCCCCCCCCCCCTCTTCCCCGCTCCGTGGGTTGGCCGGTGAACAATGTTGTCGAAAATGTGAAACTCGAGCGATTTTTCCTGCTAAACGGTATTTCCAGAAAATAAGAACATCTTTCGAATCATTAGAACTTAAGCTATCGAATGATTACTAGTAGTCTAATGAAAGAGCTTTGTCCGGCGAGGTTCAAAGCACAAATATTTTCTTTCTCCTGCAGCGCTATCAAAGGAGCTTTTCCGAAAAGCAATCACATTTTTGGGTCCTTCGAAACTCGTGCTATCGAATGAGTCCTTGGGAAGGAGTTTTGTACAACGAAGTATAAGCGAGTTAAGAAAAAACACGTGGTCGTGTGAAACATAATTTTGTTTTGTATTTTACAGCGCTAAAAAAAGGGTGTTTTAGGAAATCGACCTTGTAGGGCTCTAGCCAGAGATTCATGCTTTCGGAAGGTCACCAAAACTTCTATGAAAAATTCCTATCCAGTGAACGAAATCGTTTATAAATTTGTCGCCGTCTAGCACATAAGTGCCTATTTTTTTAACCAGTTGACTTCCGTGGACCCAGACTGGGCGTGTCCACCGGCGTGAGAACTGTTTCAAGACTCGCAGTTGAGTTTTGAACTAATTCGCGTCTTGTCCTGCAACGAATGGTAGTACTGTAGTTTGCGACTGATCGTGGCAGAGGAGGTGGAGTCGTTTCCCACGCTGGCGAACACGCCCAGTTAGGGTCCGCGGAAGTCAAACCGCTTGACTATTCCGTTTGCAGACCCCTCTTCGTATTATACTGTGATGATCCCAAACTTGTAGCGCTTTATTATCTCCTATAATTCATTACATGCTTATGAATTTCGTTTCCTTCATAAACGTCGTAGAAAAGTGGTTTGCGCATGTCCTTGCATTCTCGAGGTCAATCAGGGTGGGGGTTTTTTTTAAGTCGCTGATTGATTGCCAGGAAGTGTTTGAGAGAGTCACTCCTTCACCGAGCATCACTAACCAGTTGGCCACCGCGCGCCGGCTCTGAGTGTATTGATTTGCTAGGAGTTTCACACCACTCTCCATAGCTCCTCGTCAGTTGCAGTTTTTTAAACAGTACAGGCTTACTCAAGTGTGATCCCATCGTCTCCATTCCTCTTCTACATGATCTTTTTAGTTGAGGTGGAACGATGTGCCAGGATTCTCGATGGGGTCATCACCGTGTTAGATGGATCTGCAGGAGTTCAGGTGAGCTAATTGTGCTTAGGATCTTGGGCCTCTTGGTTTTGTTTAGTTTATAGAAAATATATACTTGTACGTGTGAGCTTTTATGTCATTTAGGCACAAACAATCACAGTGTGGCGCCAGGCAGCTAAATTTTGTCTTCCGTCAACATTTTTTGTTAACAAAATGGACAAAAAAGAAGCACAGTTCGAGAAGTCTGTTGACTCGGTCGAACAAAGACTTGGTATCAGAGGTAGGAAACTTTTCAATGGTTTTGAAACTTAATATGTGGAGTACTGTGCAAAAACGTCTGCGTCAGCCCGGATTCGAACCCAGACCTCACTCTTTCCGGGGCAAAACGAGCGTTGGTAGTGCAATGGTTAGCATAGCTCCCGGAAAGAGTGAGATCTGGGTTCGAATCCCGGCTGACGCAAACGTTTTTGCACAGTACTCCACATATTGGGTATACTATAACATCGTACCACTGCAAGTGGCAGTCAAAATAGAAAGGGTTTTGAAACCGACGAGGTCATATGTGAGATCAGCACTCCATAGCACTGGTGGTCGTTTCTCCGTACTATAGTGATGGACTGATGAGCGGCTTTGTGGACATCATCGCGAAAAAGCACATTCCCATGTTGCTGAATGGACAATGGAGTAGCATAGAGGTATTACTGATTGGAAATGTCATAGCTCTGAATAGACTACAACTGAATTTCTGTAGTTGGAATCACCTGTGGGTGAAGTCCTGAGCTCTTGTCGAGAGAGACTTTGCTGCGATCTATCCGACCTCGATCCGGAGTTCATGTCGATGTTTCTGGAGAACTACAATGGAGATGCCGTAGCGGTCCCTTCGTCAGTGATCATCAAAGGTTCGCACTTTGATTTCCTTCTCTTCTTCTTCATCGACAAACGCACTAGCCTTTTTCTAAGCATTTCTTTGTTTTTTATGCACCAGTTTTTCCCTTAAACGAATACACCAAGCAGATCGATCATTACTAAGTGATATGCAAAACTCAGACTTCGGATAGGAATTGAACTAGCGTGTCACTCTTTGTGGGAGCGCGTGCCAACACTGAACTATCGCAGCTTCTGCTATCATTTTCCCTGCGAACACTCAAATAGAGCAGTTTGACAAGAAACCTTGTAGATCACACCATCGGAGTTCGAGAAATGTTTCCAATGATTAGATATCGCTAGTCGGTATTAAAGTCAAAGCTTTTGAAATAGTGAAATAGGAGGGCTTAATTCGGAAGGGGTGCAAGACTGATAGCACTTTCAGGATTGTTGTAATTTTCTGGATCAAGTGATTCCAATAACTTCCCGACTCATTCTCGCCATAAGCTGGGCTAGAGAGCACCGTGGCCAAGTGGTTCTGATGTTCGCCGCGGCTCCACGCGGGCTAAACCGCGTCCCCCATCTCGAGGATAGCCAGGCTGGAGCGTTCCGTAAGGTGTTCGTTGATTGACTGCCGGAGAGTGCTCGGTTCAACCTCGTACCGCGCATCATTAATCACTCGGTCGCCACCCCCCCCCCCCCTTTCTCGTCAAAATAATGGAAATAATGTTTTTCATTTTTCGTCGAGGTCTTCAGTTCTTTATATCAAATGTTCAGCACTACGTCGTATCACATTGTCAAATCGTTCAACCGTCATAGCTGGTGGGAGTGCCCTACGATGTCCGGCTAGCGTCAGGTGTGTCCTTGATCACACTGTCCACTTTTTGCCGTCTCCCGAGGAAAGGAACGCAGCTTTGAGAAACTGTTCGACAAGGAGCTTTGTGTTCTAATCTTTAAGGTGGAGTATTTTGCAGGTTCATACTCTTTGTAATAGAGTGATACATGTTCAGAAGTTCTTCAGATTGGTCACGATAAGAGGAAGGGAAAGCTGAGCTTTATCCGGGTATACACTGGAGTGTTAAAGAGCAATTCTTTTGTCTACAATTCCAGTCGAGGTGTAGTTGAAGGACCAATTAAGGTGAGAAGAAAGTGGGTCGTAAGCCCTTGTTCTTACCCAGACCTAAAATGTAGTCGCTGAGCTCATTTTAACTGAGTTTTTCTTTGAGTTTTACGGAGCACACGTAAAATCTATATTCACTTATTGATACGACGGTATCATAGTTCTCAGGGGAAAATCCATGACTGAAATTTGAGGTCTGTACTCGAATATGCGTAATCCAAGTAAAGTCTTTATTTTACTACTTTATAGCTATGGTAAGGCGTCATGAATGTACATTGAGAGTCTCAGAAAAATGAATAAATAATAAAATAAGAGAAAAAGCAAAAGGCTAAAAAACACATTGTCAGTTATATTGTTTCGAGCGAGGTCTCAAGAATCAGTCGAATATGAAGGTACATTAATAGTCTTGAGTCCTAAGAAAACATCCGTCCCCAGGCGGGAGTTGAACCCTCGCTTAACCTATGCCGCGGACGCATGCTACCACTACACTACTGAAGCCATCGCTCCCCTACCACTTCCTCTGATCTAAAAGCTGTCAGCTTAACTCCGTTCAAAAACACGACATGTGCCTACTCGACCAAACGTGAAACTTGGCTGCTGACAGCTACGATAGGACATATCGAAGTAAGTGGTAGCAAAGCGGTGTTATAGTGGTAGCAAGCGCCCTCGGCAACTGTAAAACGTGGCTTCAACTCCGCATGGGGTCGAATGTTTTGCATGCCACTCAACATTCGTATATGTGTATGCTTGAACAGTCTGTTTTGATTGTTGCCTTTCAAGCAAACGATTGTTTTATCGTTTATAAAGGATTCTAAAGTGAACATTATTTCGATATGATCTGACAGATTGTTTCAAGCCTTTCAAGAGCTCTAATAAAAGCATTTCGAGTTCTACACGTACGTTTTGTTACTCTCACGCCTCATCAGTGGCACAGCCTTTCGGTTTCCCCCTTACAATCACCTAAGAGTAGCGGCGTCGAACATGTATCACCTCAAGTCAAGTGAAAAGATCACTTGATGTTGTGGCCAGAGTGGTTTTTCAAACGATAGATTACTACCGGTAAGAATTACTCTAGACTGCAACTGAGTAATCTTTTCACTTGACTTAGAGCTATACGTGATCGGCGCCACCAATAGTTAGTTGAGGGTGAAACGAAAGGCATGGGCTACTGATGAGGCGTGCGAGTAGCATCGGAACGTTTGTATAGCACTCGAAATGCCGTACCAAATTTCTTGAAAGGCCTAAACATTTCTTCACACTATATTAGATTTCAAGAAAAGTTTTAAATTAGTCGATTGGAGGTAACTTTATTTCAGTTGTTTCTTGCTCACAGTAGCGAACTGCTGCCTGTTTCGAGTGTCAGTGAAGGCAGTATAGCCGTAGTGAGTGGTCTATCATCTGCTATGACGGGTGATACCCTTTTGTCAAGGTACTGCTGATGGTGAAACTTGGTTACAAGGAGGAATAATAGATTTTTTGATGTATAGTCGTTGTAGTGAATCAGTCAGTCACCATTACGCAGAAAGAAAGTATTCTTCAAAGCCCACTACAAATGCTACTCCAAGCTTTGCTTCCGAGGACTTAGCACCCTCTGGTACGGATAATTTCCTGGATGACGACCAGATTGTCGTGGAGACTTTTGGTGATACTAAGAACGCCGTGCTCAAAGGTTCTCCCTTTTTTCTTCTGAAAATATCATAATTTAGGCAAAAATTGACGTCTCTTAGGCATCGATGCTCCGGAGCCTGTGTATTTTTGCTGTGTCGAACCTCCGTCATCCAAATCGATCCATGAGTTTGAGCGTGCCTTAAGGGAACTTGCTGTAGAGGTTCGTTACCTAAATCGTTCTTCTGTTTAGTGTATCTCACTTCTTCATCTATTCATAACTCAGAAAACATCTGCATTTCTGTTTAGATCTCCTTTTTTTCTGATCTTTTTTTTTTATCTTTCTCCTTTTTGTTTGGCTCCAGTACAAGTTTGGAAATGGGCTTTGGTATGGATACTTACTTAGCCTTTTCCACATAGACTATATAGCCGTAGAGGGCATGTGTTATGTAGTGGCCAGAAAGTACTCTTCACACACACGTAGATGGTCAATTGATGGTCGATAGTTCAATCCAGGGCCCGAGGACCCTTCAATGAAGGGGTTCGACCCTCTTCTGGGATTCGATGGATAGGTGCCATCTTGTCTGGGAGGATAACAGCACTGATTCGACACGTTGGTGGGCCACCACGAGTCTTTGAAAAGGTCATGTATGCAGTAATTAACCCCAAATGAGACATGATGACGTCGAATGAATGGCGCATCTCTCAGGCATTGATTAACGCCAAGAGCTTTATCCTTTACACTCTATTCATAGAGATAGTGACCACGATATAATTTCGAGTTCACTGATATTTTGTTTTTTAGAGGATGCCAGAATTTTTCAAATAAGTTTTATTACTTTCTACTTTTCTTCTGACTCACAAAAGTTGATACACTATTAAGAAGCTATAGTCTAGGATCCTTCGCTACGAATTCGATTTGATGCAGAAACTGGTCAAACTGTTGTGGAGACTATGGGTGAACTACATATGGATGTCGTGAAAAATAGACTCATTCGTGACTATGGCCTAAATGTGTTTGTCGGACCATTACAAGTGCGTTTTATCCCATATCTCTGAACCTTTGATTAGTCTTTTCATTCAGGGTTATCTGTCTTGGATAGTTGTTCAGAGAACAAAAACTAATGTACTTTTGCCAAGCCTTTGAGGACCAGCGTCGATAGACAGGCATGTCGCGCCGTCGCCTGTACGGCAGTCGCAGTAGGCAGTATCTGCACGTCTGCGCCTGCTTTCTCACGAGATGCGATAGACTGAATAGGGATATATAAATGTTCTTTTCATTAAAATCATCTCTGCAGAAGCCTTCTGAATGAATTCCATCATATGATGATGTTAATGTGAGTCAGAACCTAGGATCGCCTTCTTGCATCCATCGTCCCAACGGTCTTTAAAAACGCAGGCATAAAGCGTCTGCATATCTGTGCATGCATCTCTCGCCGCTTGCGCCTGCTTTCCCACGAGACGCGACGCCGCCATTACAGTAGCTGACTGAGATTTGACTTTACTGAACTGACTGAGAGAGTTGCGGAGCGGTATGAAGCGTATCGTTTGGTCCTTAAAGGGTGCTAGCATCATTTTATAGGACACAGACTATTTGGATGATGTGATCTTCACTACAGGTTGCATATCGCGAAATTATTGATGATGCTGTCTCAAGAACAGCCACCGTTCAAGAGACTCTAAATGAGAAAGAAGTTCATAGTGCCACTCTTACATTGCACATCGAGCCTCGACCACAGGTTGGGAAATTCAAAGCGGTACGTTGCTTCTGAATATAGGAAAGTACAATGTTAGATGACGCTGAAGGAGAACTGGATACATTTTGTTAGTCTTTTCTCAAGTATTAGCTTGGTTTCGTAAAATTGGGGAATTTTGAAGTTAGTTTTGAATATCTCAAAAATGAGATATCAACATCTAAATTCCATCAATAGAATTCGTAGATCAACCCAAAACTTTTCAGATCAAAGTCAGTTTACCACAGGATTCGCCAAATTTGCGTAGTGATTGGCTTAAGGCCATAAACGAAGGCTGTCGAAATGCGATTCACAACGGGCCAATACTCGGATTTCCTGTCCAAGACATTGTAATCAGTCTGCAAGCGATCACCACCAGTGGTGGACGTGTGAATACTGCAATCTGTAGGTGATTTTGTTTGGTTTCACCTTCGAATGAGCTCCTGACGAATTTTTAGGTGCATTCCTTAATCTTAATCTAATCTTCATCCCTTTGGGGATAACGCCCTTTCCGACTTTGACTGACTAATTATTCGATAGTTCAATTATCGGCGATTCTATTATCATATTATATATTTATTATTATCAGTCATCGTATTGAGAATCATTACTATCAGTAATCGCTGTGCTCGAAGTCTGAAAAGGCATTTTCAGTGCGCTGAAAGCAGCGAAATAAGCACACTTGGCGCCCACTTTTTTGTGGCCTGGCGTGGATGAATGGCTTTGTGGGTGGGATTTTGTTACCCTTTTGAGGATCAGCGTTGGTAGGCAGTCGCTTGCGCGGCACTCGCAGGCAGGCAACATGTATATGTCTGGGCATGCATATCTGGCAACATGCGCCTGCTTTCTCATGAGACGCGACGCCGCCATTACAGTAGCTAAGTGGGATTTAACGTTGCGCGGCTTGGTTTGAAAGAAACTATATGGTCCTTAATGGTTTACATGTGCAACAAACGGCATCGACGAGCCGCGCGTCGACTGTCTTTCAATTTCTTACACTAGATAGCATAAATTTAGGTCATTTTGAAGCCATGGTTAGTGTTCGAAAAACTCTTCGTAGAGCGCTGAAAGAGCGGAAAGTAAATCGCGTTTTGGACGCCTAAGCTTAGGCTTCTCAGGCTCAAACCTAGGCTTGGTATGGGTTTACTTGGCAGTGTAAAATGGAAGTGAAATGCTCGTAGCCATAGAATGATAGAGGAAAGTTTCTTTCACGATTCTAATGCGGAAAACCTAGAAATTTCTTCGGAGCGTAGGAAACAGTTTGAAACAAATAACGAAAATGCGCGCCGAGTGTGAAACTCAGCATCATTTTCAGCTTCAGCTCACGAAGAAGGCCTTTTTGGAAATCAAAAGCAATATCAAAATTGCCGAGATTTAGCCATCGAATGGCAACTGAAAGTCTGAAAAAAGCGGAAAAGATATCGCTGTTGAAGGGTTGAAAATTTGATGAAGATAATGGGAAAGTACCTACTCTTGTTTAATAAGTAATTGCTGCATCTATGATTCTTGATTACGCCTATATATGCATTTTTGAGCACGAAAATCCTGCATCGATTCTATATTCAGTATCTTCTTGTGCACACAAATGCGTCACTGAGGCGTTTGAGTGCGCCAACGCCCGATTGGTGGAACCGATCATGAGGGCTGATATCGTTCTGGAAAATGGTGCAGAAGCGCAGACAGTACTGCAGGAGTTGGCTCGTCGAAGAGCGGATATCATCAATTGTAGTGGAACACATTGTGAGAAGTCAACTGAATTTTTAGCTCCTTCTTATCATTAATCAATGCCACTTGTAGAGCCAGTAGAGTGTTTTAACGTTGACGGATTATATCCTATGAGTTCGAGTGTAAACTTTAGACCCCAGGCGAGAGCTGAACCCGTGTTCAATCAATTTCTGGCGCGCGTGATCCCAATACACTACCGAGGCCATCGCTTTGCTGCCATCCTTTCTTCCAAATGAACTATCAGAGCTTTCAGCGGCAACCAACCTTTAACGAGTTTGATATCAAGCAGATGTCAGCTCGACTGGGTTGAATGCTTACCGGACTTAATCACGCTTGGGTTGGATGCTGTTGACAGCTCTAATAGTTCATATTGAAGAAATAGTATTAGCAAAGCGATGACCTCGCTGGTGTGATGGTAGCACACTCCCATAGTAT